ACTAGCTGTTACCCGCGACTTCGTCAGCGGAGGTTTTGCAAGCAAACCCCATTTACATTCAATATTTCAATAACCATAGTAATTGTTATATAACACCTACCGCTGAAGAGAATTGCCGAGAATCAAACAAACTATTTTCAATTTGATCAATTTTCTGGAACGTTTACAATCGTTCTATAATCGAACCAATATGCAATAACAAATTCAAATTTAAAACAGTTTGAACACTTTTAAAATAGAAATAGATAAAAATATTTATAACAATGTCTGAAATGTTATCAATTTAATACACCTAAGTACTCAATGAAGACTAAACGTAGTTGAAAACAAAAAATCACATCTAAAATAGTACAGTAGAAGCCGTTTTTCCGGGTAAGTTTTAATCCTCTCCCTCTCCACCTTGCGGGGGAATTTAGAAAAATCCTTTCTTAGTGTGCATTCCCATGGTACACCCTACTAAAACCCATATAAAAACAAAAAATCGCGTCTAAAATAGTACAGTAGAAGCCATTTTTCTGGTTAAGCCTTAATGCTCTCCCTCTCCCCCGCAAGAAAATTTCGAAAAATCCCTTCTTAGTGAGCGCTTTCATGACGTATCCTAACTGTGTACCAAATTTCATCTCTTTAGGTTTAGCGGTTTGCTCTGGGTGATGATGAATCAGTGAGTGAATGAGTCAGTCAGGACAAGCAATTTTATATATATAGATTCATTATACTGGACTAAAATATAGCTTAAATCTTAAATAAAGTACAATACTATATTCAAGCTATGCAACAAAATAGTATTCATAAATTTTTAGGTAATAATTCGGAGTTAGTCAGAATTATTTCCAAACTCACAAAGTCTCACAATACAAAATGACTTCAGGTTTAACATAAATATAATAAGAGAGAGAAATGTTTAATCTAACTACAAAACATTACTTTCCCTCTTTTTTTATTACTGAATAATTTCAATAGAATACTCACTGGACAAAAGGAACAAAATATTGCTTTTCTTCATCACTTTCTAATTTGCCACTAATAATATCTGTTATTTCCATAGCTGAAAAAGTATATTAATAGTATTTTTAAAAATTCTGCATAATTTTAAAATAGTTACAATAGTCTTCTAGTATATTTAAAATTTTTAAAGTTTGTAAAAATCAGGTCTCTCTAACAAGATTTTTATTGTTTTCAATGTTAATTTTTAAATTTTAATATATACTATTTTTCTAAAATTATAAGATTGCTATAATAGTACAGCAATATATAGAAAAAAGGTTGCTGTTTTTATTGAAATTTGAATTGAAGTTAATTTAAGATAATTACAAGCTACTCCAAATGGTCTTCTTAAGCCATCAGGTGTTCTCCTTTGAATGTGTGAAGTTCTTTTATGATCAATGTCCCTAAACTCCATAGCACCTAAAGAATAAAACAAGAAATGTTATGCTATACACTTATAAAAAAATCATGCTTAAAAGTAAAAAACTTTTAATATGAATAGTCTAAATTAGAAATTTCAAACATATACATGTTTTCTTTCTTTAGGATTAAATGTGACCAACATTAAATTTACTGTGCAATGCTGATCTTGGCAAGGACACATCAGTATTTCAATATTTCTTACAGCAATTTATTCAAAAATAGGCAAAGCCACTTTTGGGATGAGACTGTCTTGGAGAGCGTGAGCAACACATGCCCAAATCTTGCACTCATGCCTACTTGTAGAAACAGTCTCAGCATTTCATATTTTCTTTTGACCCAGTTCTCAGTCCCTTGACTACCTACAAATCTGGTTTATTTTACATGCACATGATTTGGGCATCAAATATTGTGTGCCAATTGCAACTCCTGACATGTACTGTACTCCTTCATACCTCTAAGATGTGCAGTCGTTGACAGCAGCACAATTTTAGAGATAAGACATAACTACTGGGCAGCAGTATTTTATTATTTTTATTTTACCTGGACACCTATATTTTATTTATCCTGGTTTTTTATACTATGAGTAGTACCTCATCTAATGTTAGTACTGGGTACCAGTATTTCTTTTATGAAAAATATGTACAAATATATTTGAAATGATTATAGCAAAATAATATTCTTTTCACATTATTTCAAGAATTATTCATCATAACAAATGTTAAAAATTTTATTTCTATAATAACTATTCACTACTGAAAAAATTATATTTAATTATAAACAACAAAACAATACCAATAATATTGAGCAATTTACTAAATAATAACAAAAACAAACATTTTTAATCATTTTAAAATTATCATCATCAGATTAAAATAGCATATATATGAAAATTCAAATGTTACTTCAAACAAAATGAAATAATTATTTTATTGGTGGAAAACACAGATGTCAACAATGATGCAATCATATGTTTTTTTTAAAGATAAAACTTAAAATTATAGATAACCTCCATGCTTTAGAGCAGTGGTTCCCAACCTTTTTTCATTAGCATACCCCGTGACATGTCATATCTCTAGATTGTGCCTTTCATTTAAGAAATTTAGTGAGTGCTCGTATTGTTAATTTTACATATTGTAACTTTAAATTAAAGAAAAAAAAGTAAATGAAAAAATGTATAATAAAGTTGTGATTGTTGCAAGGAACATATTTTACCTAATAATTTTTTAATACTATTAGTTTGTGATACATAATATATTAATTTTTCTGCCATAATAACTAACTTTTTTTTTGTACCCCTAAACAACCTGTAGTACGCGTACCCCTAGGGGTACGCGTACTACAGGTTGGGAATCGCTGCTTTAGAGAATGTCTTGGCATCTCTCTAATTTATTATGTTGTTCCAAAAAGTAGCTTCGTAAATTTCAAATTTCTCCAGATGTTTCAGATTGGTCCAGTTCCTAATGGGGTGTATTAGATTTATTTTATTGAGAAGTATTTGTATCAGTACATCATTTTTGGTTTGCAAATGTCACTAATGCTGTGGTCTGTAGGCCCTTTCAGGTGGAATAACAAAACTCCTTGATAAGTATGTTAAGAGATCAAGCCATTGCTCCATTGTAAGCCAATTTCTTGTGAATCTGTTGTCCATAATGGGGATAGAATACACTCCAGATGAATTTTGCCTGTTAATAGGGCCTTTGGCATTTTGTAATAAAGAAAATACAGTTGGGTTTCTCTTGTAAAAAATGCTAAGTTAGTTTGTTCTTGCCATTTGTTTGTAAATCTTTGAAAGATATTGATTTTACCTGATGACTTTGTGGGTTTTAGATCTGTCCTTAATAGATGTATTTGATATTTTGATATTTAATTGATATTTAAAGATGAGATTTTAGATAACATCTGCATTTTTCACCAATGAAATAATTATTTCATTTTGTTTTAAAGTGATTTTCAATTTTACACATGTATATTCAACTGCTATTTTAATCTGACGATGAGAATTTAAAAATTGTCAAAAACATTTATTTTTGTTATTATTTAGTAAACTGCTGGATATCACTGGTATTGTTTTTTATTTTATTTATATATATTATTTCCACTAATTTTTGTATTATTCTTTGTTTTATGATATGTAAAGACTTTTATAATTCATTAACAGATTATACATTTGCCAGATGATTGACTGGTAACACTATCCATAACCAGAGTTGGTTGGCAATACTTGTTCTCAGTGCATGAAATTCATTCTATTGTCTGTGTGTGTAAAATTCATTCTATTGTTATTATACGTGATCAGAACAATCATATTGTACATTTGCACTTTCTACCTGAAAGTGCAAATGTACAATATGATTGCTCTGATCACGTATAATAAAGATTTATTACAGTTCGTGTAGTGGTGGAATTTGATTTAAATTTGTATCTTGCAGACGTGTTGGCATTTGACTACCTAGAGTTAATATTTGAAAAAAGTCAGTAGAATAGAATACTAAACTGTAATTTATTTCTAATATTACAGATTACTAATAATCTGGTTTGTGATGACAAATTTGTCATCTATTAATAATTTGAGAATTTAGGCAAATTAATTACTTAATCTAGAATGATGATCTAATATATAAATATTTATACATGTGATACTACATAATTTTTAATATACTCTATCACATTAATGTAAAGTAAAAATTATGCAAGGTCTGATTATTATCATAATGAAATAATATAAACAGAGAGTACTATTTCTATATCAATTTATTATCGATATAAAGAATTCTGAACTTACCTATTCTGATAATCTGACAAACCAAGTAAACTTTTTCTCTAATAAGATCTTTACTACCTAAATCCTACGTTATAAATTTAAAAATTACTATAATAATAAACAGATGATATAAAAACAAATATCAATAATTTTTATAATGCATAAAGGATACATTGTTTATAATTTATATATTATTATTAAATTTATATTTATATTTAACAATACAAATACATATAAATTGAAGAACACAAACAGATGCAACAAATCATAACATATTTATTGAAGAACACACACATGTGTGTGTTCTTCAATAAATATGTTATGATTTGTTACGTTTTTGTGAAAGAATTATTATTTTGTTTTAATTAATCGACTACATGTCAAAAGAAAAACAAAATTTATTACGAGCAAATGAAATTTACAAGAGATTAGTAAAAAACTACAAAAATGCATTAATGATTATGAACTACACTAAACATACAAAATTCAGAACTATAATTAATTCAAATCAAAAATAAAACCAAAACAAACATTCACAAAACTTCCTGACAATTGGGAAACTTAACTCTAACTTAAAATATAATGCTCCACAAAAAGTCAAATAGAATTCAATAACAACAAAAGAAAATTCTTATGATCTAAATCGCCTAACCATTACACCAAAGAAATGCCAGGAAATCCTTCTTGTCACTCACTCTAGAATACTCTTTGCTTGCTTTCATAAGCTTTGCCTCATCATCTTCATTGTTGCCAGGTTTTATATGCCTTGATGTGCTATGTCACTCTAACTCATTTACAATAGTTATACACTAACAAATGTTCTTTTTTCTTTGCAATATTTAATCATACCAGTCTTTCCAAAAAATTCTTTGATTATTTAAAAAAATCAGTAATGAAAGAATTAAGAGACAATTCTTTAACTCCACTTGAAGATTGTTTAATCTGCTTGTGATGCCTTGTTATATTGGTGATGTTGGTTGTTACAAGTTAACACTTGTAACAAGTTAGTCATGTAAATGATAAGAATTTTTGTATTTTAGAGTGGTGTGGAGTTTTCATCTTTTAAACAAAATAAATGTCCCCAAAATAAATAATAATGATAACTAAATAAAAGCCCTGAAAATAAAAGATAATGTTTGGTCTTGACTCCTTACAATGATATTCTAAATTACTTCATTAATACTAAAAATACAATATAATGATATTTAGTTTAACAGTACTTTATTGCTAATTCTTTATTATTATTTGATATACAGGGTAATCCAATTGGAATGTCATAAAATTAAATACTTACAGAAAATAAAATAATGCAATTAGAAGTTACTAAATGTTACCTATATGTGTTGGAAAGTTGTCAGTTTCTGCTAAAAATATTCAACCTTCAATATGGCAGCCAGAGTGGAAAATACTGTTTATACCAGGTGTGTACTTGGCATGATTAAACGTCTGCTTGTAATGCTTGCAGTTGCTAAATATATGAAAACCTTTTCTAGTATCAACATACAATCCTCTGACATGCTGTATGGAATGTCATGTGCCACTGACAAATGGCACAGCAACTTTCAACTTTAAATCATGATTTGCTGAATGTTCTCTTCTCTGTCCATCATGCATTCTTCCTCTGGTGTAAGGTAAAGTCAGATCCACTTATGTACCATTTTATCCATTCAATCCATTTAAAGGGCATCCTTAAACTTTAACCCCTATTTTCTGAGTACAGCAGAATGGTCTACTAAAAACAGATGTTTGAATTGTTCTACAATTGAAGGTCCAATTTGTCTATGTTTACTAGAAGAAAAAAATCTATTCTACTCAAAATGGAGCATTCTACAGTATCACTTTTTATTGTTCACATTGAAAAGTGTAAAAAGCAACCATTAGTGGATATAGAGTTATTTCTTGGTGGCTCTGAAGGTAATTTACAGTTTGGTTTAATGAATTCTGATAAAATTTTTGTTTCCTTTATCACATAAAAATTAACCTTGTGACAATGGCATTTTTGCCAGGGCAACAGCAAAATTTGTTTTATCAGTATTCTTTTAAGGCAAGTTGGCTGTAGTTAATTCAGTGGATGACTTTGTTGCCATTTGGTATTATGCATTTTATGTCTTGATAGAGTGGTAACATATTTTAATCATAATAGAACACAAAAAATGAAATTTCTTAATTTGCATTGAATTGTTTTTGGCAAAATTCATTACATATTTTGAAGCATCTTGATAAGTCTAAATTTTGTTTCTGAAATATAGTATTTTTACTTGTAAATTGTGTCTTTCCAGTATGTAAAATAAATATTAGGTATAAGTTTTGTCAAATAATATTTATTTTGTATTATTTTTCCAGGCAATGTGAAATAAATATAAAAGAAATAAATGCAAGAATTTAATACATAAGAATTATCAGAAATTAAATTTTTTGACACTGCAAAGCAAATTACAGTAATACTTGTAATTCTTTTTTACTGTTTTTATTTCAGTTAGTGACTAAGCTATTTTGAAAGAAATACAAAAGAAAATCGTGCAATGTTCTGTATAAATCAAATCTAGAGTTAGAATACTTTTGTTTATAAAGTACAAATGGACATTTAAGGGCACATTTGTGGATGGAAGGTGTATATATATATATATATATATCTCTTTTCTCAGCATTACTCTCTCTTTTCAAAAGCAAAAGCATTTAGAAATGACAATGGCTTATAAATAGATCAAAATAAGCAAAGATCATTTTACTGATAATTTAATTTTTTGCTGATAGAAACAGAAAACATTTTTTTAAAGTGCAATTTAATTATCATATTATAAACATAAAACATATTTAAATTATTATGTAGAAAAACCGTGACATTCATTCTTTTTTGTTTTTTCTTTGGATGACAGCAAACATGTTGAAAGTAGCATTAATAAAGACATGTCAATTTTAAAAATACAGACATTGAAATCAGAAAATATAACTTTACTTACTATGAAAAGTACTCTTAAATTATTTAGTTGATCTAAATCTTTTGCTAATCCTTCTTTCCCCCATTTTACTATATAATTTTCACTATAAAATTTTTAAAATGTATAAGTTTTGTATAGATAAATTATCAATAAAATTCTTAATAAATATATATTTCATAAAAAAAGCCAAATTTTCACCTGATGAATTGTCCTTCTTTAGCATCATATAATGTCATAAGTAAATCAGCATCTTCTCCAATTCGACATACAAAATTCTTTACAGTAACAAATAAACTGTGACAATACCGTGAGCATTTCAGATTCTTTGAGCTCCTTGAACACTGAAATAAAATTTAGTTACTGACATTGCAATTAACAGTTTTAATTTTATTTAAACAACATATATTGAATTATTTTAACAAAATGATATTTATTTGTAAGAAGATATAGTATCTGAATTTTATTTTGTAAACAAAATACAATTGCATTAAAAATGAAACTTTAATACACAAGCAAATGCCATCATAGTCTTTTGAAAATATATTATAAAGTAATTTACATTTCTGTATTGAAATTACAAAATTATAAAATAAGAGAAATAGAAAAATTAAAATTTACAAATCAATCAGCTATAAGTCATGGAGATAGGCACAGACATCTGCAGACAATCCTAATAAAATTTTGAAGAAAGTCATGATGAAGATAATATAGAAATCATGAAAATAATATAAGCTAATTAAAGATATTTGTATAAACACTGCTTAAATCGTATCTGAAAATATATATCTCAAAATGATATTTATTCGTAAGAAGATATAGTATCTGAATTTTATTTTGTAAACAAAATACATTTACAAAACCCCCCTTTCAAACAGGTTAACCCCCTGATGTATTGATTATTTTCTGAGGCATGTTTCAAAAGTGACCTAATTTTTTTATAAATGCTTTCAAATCTATTTTGAAAGAAAGTACTCTAAATAACAATAATAATAATTTCCAATTATTTCAAAAAACCAAGTAGATAATTAAGATAGTTATGGTATAAATTATTATCCAGTTAAGTCAGGTACAAGAAAAAACTCAGAAACACACAACTACAGTGACTTATTTATTGGAAAATGTTGTAAGGTACTTACTAAATATGTTATACATACATACAGCAATTTTTTTATTATTACAAATTTTTTTGTCTGTGATAGATTTTAAAGCATGATGCAATGCACAATGAAACTTCACACTGTTAACAGTAATATTGTGTTTTTTCTTACACATTTACTGCATGTGTCTTGTTTCTTAGAACATACTCTACACACTTTTGTGGGATTGCTTGTGTTTTCAGTTGGTGGTATGGCTTCAGGAAAATGTTTTTCTGTCAATCAGAGTGAATGAGGTGCCTTTCCTGGCCAACCCATTTTTTGAGAAATAACACTTTCTTTGTATTTTTCAATAATTCATTCTACCAAATTCAAAATAGATTCTAGCAAATATTTTTTACCTCCAGCTTTATTATAGAGAATAAAGGAATTCCATACAGTAATTTCCAGCAAATAGAAAAATCATCTTTTTATAGTACTTTTTCCCTTGTTTTCTGGAGATTGGGTATGTCGACATATGCTTATCTGCACATTCAACACTTCCCATGTCATTATAATCCAAAAACCCTTTGGCTTTATTATTTTTTCCTCTGTTTTTCAGTGTCCATATCTGTGGTGTGCACTGTTGACAGAAGGACCACATTCTTTATGTCTTTCTATCATAAAGCAAGGTTTTTCCTCTTCTATAAGCATAGATTTATCCCGTCTGCAATTTACAACATTTCAAGAAGAGTGGCAAGTCTTTGCATGGTATTTTCACTATTACATACATATCTATAGAATTTGAAATTAGAAAAGCCAGCAGCTGTCAGAATGTGTAAAAATTATCTGTTATCAGGTAGTACTCTTGTTTCAGGAGTGGTTTCATGAGGGTCAAAACCACTTTAATAGATAAAAAAATTTGCATAGTCTGTGTCAAACTTTGTGCCTTTTCCAGTGTAAGTAATTAGAGACCACACATATCTACTAATAATTTGCAAAGCATATAAAACTTTATTCTAAATCTTGCCCTTTTCAATGGGCTATACTAAATCCATCCAAGCCACCCCTTGTAAAGAAGACTCATCCTATCTGTTTCTGGTATGTAAGAAGATTAAGTTATTCTGTTGATACTAGTACATTGTTCAAATCCTGTTTGGCTTTGAGCATTGGTGATTTGAGGAATCATATGTCAGAAAAGTGTAGATGTTTTCTGATCTGGCAGAATCTTTTGTATTACACAACCTGATTGAAAAATGGAGATAAAATGCTTGCTCAGTAAGACCAATACATCTGCAATTCTGGCTTATGTACAACATTTTGGACAATTGAAAGTGCAAAGAAAATTTGACGTTCATTACATGTTGGAAGAGTGATAGGACCTGAGGTAGACATGCACTGACTGAAGATTTTGAAGTTTCCTTTTGTATAGTATGCAGTAAATTTATGTCAGAAATGCGTTCAAATATTTGCAGCATATCATCACATTTGCACCTCTCAATGGTTGAACCGGGATTGTCAGAAAATTTAAAGTGAAGTGCAGAGGGAGAAATGAAAGTAGTGTTACATTTTGCCATGTTCTCACCTGACACAAATCTATTTCACTTCCATCTTCACTTTCCTCTTTGGTGGTAAATAGATCAAAAGAATTGCTGCCAGATTTTACAACTAATATGTCAGCAACACTAAAATCAAAACTGCCTTTGATATTCATATAAATTTTATCCACTTTTATTGGTAAACATGTGTCATGATATCATGTAGCTAAATAAGAAAAATGCCATCTAATCACAAAACTTGGGCTCTGAAGTTTCCCTTAAAAAAAGAAAAATCATATGACGAAAATACTTGTGATACTATGCAGGAAATAAGAAAACAAATTAACAGCCCAAGTTAAGTTGAAATGATAATTTAAAACAAAATGCACAAGTCCAAGTTAACTCAGGATAGTACATTATGAAGTTAAATATAAAATTCTACAATGTGCTGCATTGGTGTGAAATGCACAAAAACTAAAATACAATTTTTTTTGTGCATGTCACAGCAATGTAGCAGATCGTAGAATTTTTTATTAAAAACTTAATTACATTAACAAAGATTATAAGATCAATAATAATGATCTAAGAAATGTAACACCATATTTCATTTAAAGATCAAATTTCAATTGTTACATTACTACTAGCAATCAAATTGCTAATAAATGTAAAATTATATTAAGTTTTTTTATAGATATACTTCAAAACTCTTATAAAATAATAAAAAAAAATAATGTTAAAGAAATGTTGTAGAGAATGTAAAGTTTGTATTTTATCAAATCAAACTTCAAAAAATATTTGTTCAAATAAAGTTCTTATTTAATAATCATATGCTTAAATATCATCTTCATTTCAATTTAAAATAAAAAATAAATAAATTTTTGTTTTCTGTGAAGCTTTTAATGTTTAAAAAGTTATATTTATTGAAATAAGTATATGTAGAATTATTTATTATTAAAATAATAATATAAATTATTTTTACCGTTGACATCTGCTTAATTCTTTGTGTTGCAGCTTCATGTGCTCTATATAAATCAATGGTACTTGAAACATCAGGATTCAGAATATTTCCATGATCATCCCTTACAACTAAGTCCAAATCTAGAATACTGAATAATTTTAAAATTTTAATTTCAAAAAATTTTATTCTGAAATTTAATCATTAATAGTTCATTTCTCTAAATCTAAGGCAAGTCCAAAGAAATTTTCTTATAAATACAAAATATTTTCATTTATTCATTCAAATTCTCTTAAATTATTAACATTTTACAAATATTTCACAAAGTAATTTTAATATTTTTGTAAAGCTAACTTAATATATTTAATATAAGAAATAACTTAATATTCTTGTTATTATTCATAAAATAAATCATACAGTAGTACATCTTTATATATTTATATATATTGTTTGTTAATTTCTTTCTTTTTTTTTTTGTATAAAAAAATGGAAAAATACTCACATATTTTATAAATTCAATAAATTATATTTTGTGGCAGCAATATCCAAGTATATTATTACTGTATTTTCATATTAATCATCAATTCTGACAAAATTTTAGAATATGATTTAAATCTAGTCAATCATAAGTTGTGTATTATTAGCGAAGTTGAGGCCGAAGTTTTAAATGCCAAAACGTGTACGTCGGACGTTCAGCACCGCTTTCCTGTAAGCCTAGAAGTTTGACAATGGTGTTTTGATAGTCAGTGGAATCATGCTCGACATTCCAAACAACACTCTCAAACTAGGCTTACAGGAAAGCGGCGCTGAACGCCCGACGTACACGTTTTGGCATTTAAAACTTCGGCCTCAACTTCGCTATTATTTGAAAAAACTGAACTTAAATCCACATAAATATTTAAATCAATATTTATATTGAATTAAGGATATAAAAAAATTATATTTTTTTACACTTTATACATATTTTTTCATTATATTTAATCTTTGATAAATATATACTGTATTTATATTGGATTGTATTAAATAGACATTTATATTGTATTAACCTCCTTGAGACCGTCCAATTTTTGATATTAATGTAATTAAACAAAAAACATTTAAAACTAAAAAAAAAAAAACGAAAGAAATGCGTTAATTTTGAAGAAAAAGCTTCAAACTTTATTTTCCATTGTCTTGCCTTTCTGCAAAATTTGACACTGATGAGTCATTGTTTACACAGCTGGACAACCTTGAGAACAGCTGGTGTCAGATTTCCTGGGACATTCTCATAGACGTCTCGGGAGGATAAGGGTTTAAAGTAGGGTGAATACTAGCTGGCCGTATATTTTTAAATATTTTTAAAAAATTAATTTTAATTGCGATTTCCGACCCTCCGATTTAATTAAACTTATATATAATAAAATATATTAATTAAAAAAATTAAAAAACTATTGGAGGTCGTTTTTGACATCAGAAAGTAGCTTTAAATAACTTTACCGAAGTCAAATCCGTGCACTAGAACTTTAGAACGATTAATTAAATTTGATAAAAAAAATCACATTAAAAAACAATTAAGCATTAATCACGCATCATTAAAGGTTGATTAAAATCGCGATAAAATTTTTTGCACAGGTAAAAATTTTTGAAAAAATTTGGAGACTTAAAAAACATTCCAAAAATCCAAAAAAAAATTTTTTTGGGGGGCCGAAATACCCAGTTTTATGTAACGCTATGCAACTTGCCTGAGTTAACTCGAGATATGGGCGTGACGGGTAATTAATAGTAATTATTTAATTTGTTTATTGTGAAATACTTTCACAACAAACACATAAATCAGCCTTATTTCATTAAATAATCACAATATTTTTGGTATCAAAATTTCTTTCTCATAAATTTATTATGATCTAAATAGAACTTAAATATATAGTATGCAAAGATAGTTAACAGGCCTAAGCCTAACATCATTAATGATAATGATAAACATTAAACTTGAGAAGAAATTGTAAACATTGATTTATAACAATTAACGTATAAAAAGAAACCTTTAAATAACAATAAATTTATTTGTGAAAAAGATAAATGTAATTGTCTGCTTTTACTTGAATATAGAAAATGGAATATAATACAGCATTTTACTTTAATATCACATTTGTACTTTAAGTTATTGAGAATGTTTTAGAATGACTAATGTTTAATGTTTTTATTTTCATGTAGGTTTCTGTGTTGTTTGTGCTTGTTGTAGAATGAATGTAATGAGAATGTAATCTATGAGTAACTATGCTTTACATCCCATATGGTTTTTACAACATTTTTTTGTTGGTTTGTGAGAATGTTGTATTATTCTACACAAGTGTATACAGTCGACCCCCTTATAATTACAGTCCCTATAATTACGATTCCTATAAAACTACGAAAAAATTGTGACCGGTATCCGTAAAAATCCCCCTATAATTACCTCAAACGTAATCGGACAGCCGAACTACTTTCCTGCCGTCCGTAGCGCCAACTACGGAGAGATTTCTATCGTCTGGACAGTATTATATAAATTATATATAAATTAGGTACTGTACATATAATTATATATTAATTATATATAAATTAGGTACTGTATATATAATTATATATTAACTTATTGTAACTTTGTTATAATTAAATATATAATTTCCGCCGTCTAGCGTGGCGCCACGCTACGGAGATTTTTACGCTAACTATCGTCTGTACAGTATGTAAATTAGGTACCGTAAGTCTAATACAGTACTGTAATTTTATACATTTCTTGTGAAAGAAACATTTCTTATTCAACGGCGATTAAAATTATTTATATTAATGATGTCTCCGAAGTTCAACGAAGTTTTCGCAGAAAAATAAGTCATCAGAAAACTTTCGTCATTGCTAATGCTTGTTTTCGTCGCGAAGCGAAAACAAGCATTAGCAATGGCGGTGCACACTCGGTAAGTAATCCTACAATTTTTTGTTTATAGCGTAGTTTATACGGATTATTCCCCAAAAAAATATACGTATTTTGGAAATGTTGAGTTGGATTAGTCTAAAATCGATTAATTTTATGGAAGAAAATCTTTCAAACAGCCGTAGTCCGTAAACTTGACACGTGTCGGGTTGTGATTGGAAGGATTCGTAAGAAATCGGATTCCTAAAGAATGAAACGTATCTATATCTTATAGGGGGGGTCGACTGTATTTTGTTTGTGATACATGAAGTGAGCATTTTGCAGAGTGTAGAAAGACACATGATTGGTCTGTATTGTGTAGGATCTTTGGTGCTGTTTTTGGGTTTCATATAAACGCATGTACTGTATAAGAAATTTTAGCATGTTTCGTGGATTGTTGATTGTGTGCATAAAATGTTTGTCTAGTTCCTGGCGAAGCGATGTGAATTTTTTGAACTAGAAATTGTGAATGTTATCTGTATTGTGTCTTCTAACTGCATGTTTTCTTCTTTCTCTTTAATCAAACTTACTTCATCTTTGTGTATGGTTGCATTGAACCAAAGAGCATACCAATAGTATGCAAGTTGTTTTTCTGTTGGCATACCTTTGTGCAGTGATTGTGTGGGGTGTTTGGTATATAGTTGTCCGTAGAAAACTATCTCATTATTGTTTTTGTAGTGTATAAGCTTTGTATCATTTCAGTCTTTGTGTCTTGGCTGCTACTTTTCGTTTGAATGTGTCAATGTATTTCTGTATTTGCATATTGTGTTGTTAGTACTGTGTGTGAGTTTTAATTTTTCTGAATATTTTCCCAACCTCTCAAGTTTGGTATTATGTTATTTTTAGTGTATTGTGCCTGCTCGTTTAATCCTTATCTAATGTTATGCTTCTAGTCTTCTTTGCTATTTAGACTTATGATTTATCTGTGTTTTGATTGTGTTGTCTGTGATTGTAATTTAAAATCATGGTATATAGCTATAGTGACTGCACCAGAATACACTAATGTATATTTGTCTGAAAGTAATGATTCTGGTTAAATATGTTTTGGTAATATGTGTGTATTTAGCTAATGTAATTTTCTCCACTAGCTAAATACATACAATTTTTCATTTTGATGTATTTTGGATATTTGTAATCTGTGTCTAACTTGTATATTTAGTGGATGTGGTCTAACTTGTATATTTAGTGAGTCAAGTAAATTAGTGAGCATGCTAATTAAATCAATGTCTATAGTGCAACTTTATTATTATTATTAAAATATTAATTCAGAACTTACGCATTTCCAACATCTATTTTTGCTGTCACTTTCTGTTTAATTTCTTTAAGTTCATCCTAGAAAATAAATATATCAGTATTAGAATTTTGAGGAATTTTAATATTTGTGTGAATGTAAAATTATATCAATGAATATTATTTAATAAACTCATAGAAAAACTTATTCAAATTTCATTTATTACAAATAATTTAAATTGTTACAATATTATTAAAAATAAAAACGAATTTTTAAATAATTTTTTGATTTATTCACTACATGTAGTATATAATGCTGGTTTGTTCTCTTATCTTAATATTTGCTTTTCTATCCCGTTTTGTGATCACAGTCATAAATATTTCAATTTTTCTTTGTGTAACATTTAGTCTGTTTAAGTTTTCTTTCATTGTAATCCACATCCATATGCTGAAAATGCTCTGTGAAAATTTTTAAACAATGGAGAAGTCTCCAAAAAAAAGGTTGAAGCTGTTAGTCTTTAGTATTATGCTATTGATATTTTTTAAAGGATAGTCTATTGTGTTTTTACAAATTTTAAGTAATTATATGCCTTTGGTTTTATGATTCTTGAATCCTTTATTGTTAAACTCTTGCATCCAATTGTTATTCTCAATAACATTGCTATATTTATATCTTGGTCATTTGTAGTAGGTTGTTCTAAATGCTTATGTGACTTTATTTCTTCTATCTTTTATAGATTTACTCTTATTTATGTTATCTGTATATTCTCATTAGACACTATTTTTGTTTTTTCTCATTTCATTTTAAGATTTAGCTTTCTAATTTCCTTATCTGCTTTTAAGATCATTGCTAAGATCTAAAATCATTTGATTCTTTCTGTAATTTATATATTTGCTGAAAGATGCTTTGCTGCTTTGATAAAAAAATAAAATTTTTCCATGTTATTATTAAAATTTCTTAATAGTATTCTAATATATTAAACTATTCAACTACACTAATTAAAATAAAGTTTAATATTTAATTAAGATAAATTGTATAAATTTCATTCATTTAAATAATTAAATATAAATGCTTTTTATTGTAAACTGTTACTTAATATTGGTAATTACTACACAACTTATTAAACATATTGTCTAGAATGCTAAGCTTTTCAGCCATTTTACTATAGAATATACCTTAAACATATAAAATGGAAAAGTTTGTATATCAATAAAAAAAAAACTTCAGAGTATGAAAAATTTCATAAAAGACAAGTTAACATTATTTTAATGGAATATGATGAAATTTCAAAACTGAATTTTTTATACATTTTTTTTAAATAGTCACAACTTTAAGTTATTTTTATTCTTAGAAAGTGAAATTTTCTATTTGTTTTATAATTACTATACTTAGTTAATTAAATATGCCCCATAAAAAAAAAATACATATTTTAATATTGAATGATTTAACTTACAACAGGAAGTGTTCCAGACATTATTTGTCTTCGCCATTCAATTAACTCATACATCATATTTCGTATAGTTTCAAAATTTCCATTTGACTTCTGTAAGAATCATAATTATAATTATCAGACATATCATCATCAAATCCACACTTAGTAAAATCATACACTAACAACAATTATTGGATAACAATACAGTCGACCCCCCTATAATTACAGTCCCTATAATTACGATTCCTATAAAACTACGAAAAAATATACGTATTTTGGAAATGTTGAGTCGGATTAGTGTAGAATCGATTAATTTTATGGAAGAAAACCTTTCAATCAGCCGTAGTCCGTAAACTTGACACGTGTCGGGCTGTGATTGGAACGACTTGTAAGAAATCCGATTCCTAGTAAATTGGAACGTATCTATATCTTATAGGGGGGTCGACTGTAATAAAAATAATTATAGTACATAAGGGTTGTTGAATCAAACCAAGACTGTATAAAACAGATGTAGTAAGAATGAAAAAAAAAAAAAAAAAATTATTTTATTTCTCCACATAATCTTTTGCTACAGAGATATACTCATCCTACCATTTGACCAATGCTTGGATACCAGTGACATAGAAAATTTTGTCAGCATGTCTGAACTAGAATCTGAAAGTGTCACTTTTTCAATGATAACATTCAAGAATCATTACTAAAAAATTATCCATCCAGGAAATCTTTTATGGGTCCAAAAAGATGAAAATTGCTAGGAACAAGGCATGGAAGGGGGATGTGGCAGTATCTCCCAGCCTAGTTAGATTTTACAAGTGGTTAAGTTGTATCGGATTGTGCATTGTCATATAAAAACAGTATGTAGTAAATCAGCTGTTTTCTCCAAAGTGCATTCTGTATATCTTTGAGAATCTGATGATAGTAGGCACTGGTCATAGTGACATTGTCAGATAAAAAAATACAGATGAGAGTTTGAAACTGTCCAACCAGAATCACTCATTGATGTACATTCCTCAAGATGTTTGAATCATTCAAATATCTTATTGTAGCTAAGTATTTCCTCAATGCAGTGGGCTCTAAGTCATCAGCTTGAATTTCCACCAGTTTGATATTTCTCTAACAAGAAACTTCATAATAATCTAATGTTCCAATTGAAAACTCATACTACTATCCACCAAATTTTCTCTTCTTATCATTCAGTGAGATTTACCTTTGGTTTTTAACAGAATTCAGCAATCTTGCAACCTTCATGTCTCTGGATTGAAAAATCCTGGTTTGATTTGAGTAATCCTTGTATAAAAGTAATACTGTATTATACTTTTCATAAAAATCTCAATATACACATGCGTGCACGTGCACACACACACACCATATATATACTTAATATAATAAAACTGGTGCTCAAAGTTTTAGTTTCAATCCAAATTCCATGAATTTCATCCAAAAAAGAATATTACATTAATATAATTTACTTTACTAATTAAATTGAAATAGTTTCTTAAAAAATTATTTTGTTGTAATAAGATATAATGTAATATTACAAAACTGATTACAATCAAGTTAAAAATTTTTATATCTTTTATATGTTACAGAATAATTTTCTCACAATGTTCAAAATTGTAAAATCCAGATTTCCAGTAAAAGAGTTTAGAAGTGATGAAATAAATGTATCTTTCCACCACTCCTCTGCAAATACCACTGTTACATTGTCAGTCCTTTTACTTAGGTCTTCAATTATCTTGTCCATCTGCCTCTTTCTGAGTCTTCAGAAAAAGGATAGACAAGATAACTCAAAGACCTAAAATCAAAAACCTCCATCTCTTTCTGAGATAAAGGTCTTTGGTCCATGGCCAAACTCCTGCTTCATTGAATTAAGGGTAAAGAAGAAGAAATAGATGTAGTTGGCTTACTAAAATGCATAATAAAAAAAAAATGGCTTCCTAAAATTACCAGTGATGATTTATTTACTTACTTACTTACTGGTACCAAGCTTTGTAACTTTTATATTTATACATTATTATAAATTATGTAAGTTTATAATTACAAATGTAATATTTTGTAATTATATCAATTATCTAAGTAAATCAAATAGTCACTCTATTCCTAAAGAGAAAATTCTGTTATTATTAATTCAAAAATATCAAGATTTGAAATTTTAATTTATATCAGTTTCATTAAAAGACATTATTAAAAAGAAAATTGGTTTTATGACTATGGAGATTAAATGACAAACTTAGTTTTTTAATATAATTAATTATTCTTTTATAATTATAATTTATTTGCAAAGATAATATTGCACATAGTTCCAATTAGAACTAAAGAAGACAATATTTAGAGTCAAAACTGCATAAGATAACAAAATAATATGCTTAATCCATTGGACCTTTGAATTTGTATTTTAAAGCAATTTGTCAAGGATGTGAAAGTATGAAAAAACTAAATATAAATCATATATCAATAATTTTAGAATCATTTCACTTACCACATACAGTTCTTTCCAATAATCTCCCCATTCCCTCAAGACAGAAGTAATTTCTTGTACAATTGGTGGTTCTCTGGGAATTATAGCTTCATGTGGACTGTGAAAAGATAGTGAATAAAAGGTAAATCATTTGAAAATCTATTTTATTTTTTCTTATGGAAATAGAGATATGATTTATTTATATATTTTAAAATTAGTTCAGTATTTCATAAAAATTTTTAATTAATTATACAAAGGTATCATTCCTATAAGATTATTTATAAATATTATTACACTAATCACTAATTTATTTTTAATATTATAGACAGAATTTTAGATGTTGAATTATTATTTAATAAAATAATAATACATTTTAACATAAACAAAATTAATTTTACCAAAATTAAAATGTTTTAAATTTAATATTAAAGCCAAATGATTGCAGGATTAAATTGGGCTACATTATTGCTACTATTAATAATTAAGTACTGAATAACTTGGCACTAGATTTTGGCATTAGGTGCCATCTCTTATTAAATTATTAAATTTGATGATAATGCAATCTTTAGCAGCAGGTGCTTTAAAATTAATACAATGCCCTGTATTAATTTTAAAGAAACTTCTTTGTGATTTCATTTGTCTCAATTGTATGCACATCTGATTGGTTTGTTTCTCAATTTTAAATTTCAAATTACAACATTATTCTTTTGGGCATTCCATTCTAAAATGGAATGCCCAGAAGAATAATGATCTGAATACCTGAAACAGATTTTAGGTGTAGATTGAAAGCATTTATTGCATGAATTAAACATCTGTGCTGGGCCAAATCAAGGTTTTGAAGTGTTGTTTTTTTTTAGATCATATACACTTTTATATAAATATAGTTTTTCACTTCACTTTGCAGAAAGCAAATGATTTCTATCTTTTGCATTAACAATTAGATAACTTATAAAATTATTATTTATTTAGGTTTCAGATAATGAAGTTATATTTATTAATTGAAAAATACCTATTATGTCTATTTTATGATTATGCTATTATAAAAAATATTTAATTCATTATTGTTTAACTCCTATAACAGTTCTCTATAAAGTTTTTTTGAAGTTCTAAAATTAGAATGTTGGTTAAAAATAAATTTTTCTTATTAAGCATATTTTATAATCCATATTATTTTAACATAAGAAAAAGATTTGTGATTTCTATTCATTGATTACAGATTACATGAACATAATTATACATTAGTTTTTCCAGTTAAACATGAAATTACAGTTACACATAAAGTTGAATTTAAAAATAATAATACTAATACATCCTTATGCATACAAATATTTTATAAATAATTTCTTGTTATATTCAAATTAAAAACATAATCAAATTTAATTAACCCATACCCTGTTTTATCAATGACAGCTTCTTTAACACAAATAAATACTTTAGGGAAAATACCCCAAACACTTTTATTTTTTGTTGAACATCCATAGTACCATTCTGAAATATTTTAATTAAAATAAAAAATTAGACAGAATGAAAAAACATTAAACATTTTTTAATATATATCAATTAATTATCCACATTGATAAATAATATAATTAATAAAAATAATTATTAACTACATAATGAAAAAATTAAGAGAATAAAATAAAATAATTTTTTAAATATTTCAATAAATCTAAACTAAAATTAGAAATAGACAATACATAAAGTGTCCTCAAACTTTGTTCCTTTCAATCACATCAGGAATTAACAGTTCTACAGCAGAGTTGACCTGTGACTCCAGAACTATTAATTACTGTCGTACTTGAAAAGAATGAAGTTTGAGGATACTATGTATTATATCTTTAAAAATTTTTTTATAAATTTTCAAATTTTAAAGTTAATTGTCCTCACAACTTTTTAATCAAACCTAAACTAAATGATATCAAAAACATTTTCCACATTATTATTTGAAAAACTTTAAAGTTTAACTATGTACGTTATTAAGTACAGAACTATTTCATTATATAATTAAAATATATGCTTTCCACATCAAATTAGTAGTGACTTGCCCCTGTACATCATACTTTTCCTTTAACAATAGAGTTGTGCTGGTCATCTATTTAAGACTTTTTGGGGAAAAATTTTGGAATTGAAATAGCATGACTTTTAGTTTGCATCAAATGTTTGTATACAGTTCATTAATTGCCCCCTGCCCCTAAGGTTTCCATATCTGTCTCATCTCTATCTAACTCTGTTCTTGAGATTAAGAAAAGACAGATAGATGGATGGACAACAGTAGGAATTTATAGATCTACAGTTTTTCAAATTGCAGCCCAATAAATCTTGTAATACACTAATTTGAATGTTCAATACAAGATTTAAATTAAGGAACTTTCTCTTTAACCAATTTTTTAAATCTTATTTTTTAATATCAGAATTCAACAATAATATCTCGTTTCTTAACTTTTTCATCTTACAGGCACTAAAGAATAACAATAGTTTTAGTAATGGTGGTAACTAATAAAGCATTTAATTTTATAAAATTATTATTTGGAAAATGTTTCTAACATATTAAACAGAACTACTTCACCATTTTGAGAATTAAATAGTCTTGTTATCTATCTTTTATTGAATACTATTAATTTTTTCATAGAGCTTTTGAATGTGAAGCTATAAATTCAAAAATATTAATATTTTAACTTATTTAACAAAATTAATCATTTCTTCTTTTGAAAAGTCATACTAAGCTATTGTAAACTGCATATTCCATTCTGTAAATATTTTAATTTTTTTTATTTTTACATTCTGTCAAAAGCAGTGAATTGATATTATTTATTTTTATTTAAACATGATTTGAAGCAATCTTTACAGCAAAATAAAATTTGGAAAAATTAACATTATAAAGCATTCAAAGCAAAATTAAAACTTTATTTTGATGAAATATTCAATTATATCTGATATCAAGATATCATCTTCAGCAGAACTTATTACTTCAGAGTGCAAAAAAATATCCAAGTTTAGTTCCATTCTGCCTAATACATAAAAATATCTGTTTAAGCTGGAAAGTTTACAGTAAGTCATACAATTTTGGTTTTTGCCAGTTTTATTGTGATATCTCACTGTTATTAAATATTTGTATAGAAAGAAAATTATAAAATGTTACATAATTGCACTTATTGTCTATTAATTGGGAAGCTACTATGTGCCTGATAAACAAATTAAAGCATGTTTTATGTATGAATAATTTAGATAAAATAACTACTTTATATTACATAACACTATTCTCTTGGAACATCCTCAAATTTTATTAAATCATCATCAATTTTATTTGAAATAAAATATTATACAGTAATGTTCCATTTTACATAGATATTTCTAGTTAATATAATTGTTTTATTAATACACATCGAAAAATTAAGTTTTGAGACTGGCCAATTATCTTAGTGCACACTTATTTGGCATAATTGCCAGATGTTAATGTAACATGTAAATGTGTTGTAAATACTTACGAAAACTTTTGTTTAATTTCATTTATAGATTTAGTTTTCATGAAGGAAAAAGTAAGATTTCTCATTTGACATGGCCAAAATGCAGATAACTATCAAGCAACAGATTAACATAAAGTTTTATGTCTGAACTGGTAAAATGCTGACAGATGTTTTAAATGCTGAAGATTGTATAGGAGATGAAAGTCTTTATGAGTCAATGTGTTCTTATGATGCAAGTGATTTTCTGATGAGAGAGAGGATATGAATAATGATGAAAGCTGTGGTGCACCAGTGATGAAAGGAATCCAGAGAACATTGAGTGAATTGGAATCTGGTGATACCTGATTGAAAAGTAACTTGCACAATGATAGCAGAGAATATCAAAGCCAACTGTAAAACTGTTCAACAAATGATTTCAGAACATCTAAATTTGTAGAAGATTGTCACCACATTTGTGATGAGCTGATGGCATTGAAACAACATTGACAAGTTGTAAATGACTCTCAACCAACTGAAAACAGACAATTTTTTGAAATGAGTGATCACAGGAGACAAAAATTGGTGCTTTCTTCAAAAATTTCTTTATTATTATTTTTTCTGATTAATCAAAATTGTATAATTGTCCAAATCAAATTCAGATACAGTGTAACTTCCGAATAGAGGACATTGTCAGGACTAGTGATGTGCTGGATATCTGAGGGGAAAAAAATATCTGTATTTGTATATCCGTCTCTGTTACTTTTTAGCGGATCTTTAATGGATCTTTTATCTTAATGAATTTCATTACTTATATGAAATTTTAAAGACAGGTAGAATAAAATACTAATAGCTTCAATTCAAATCACTTTTTATTTCTTAAAATCACATATTTGGCACATTCATATTGCAAAAATTAAATATTTAAACATTAATTATAGTAAGTTACCAGTATAATGTATTAATTTAACTATCTTTATAGTGAGATCAAATCTCTAATACTAATTGAAATAATCATCATGGTTATATTATATTATTGGGTTGTTCGGAAAGTAATTTCGTTTTTTTTCCGTGGGGAAAAAACACAATATTTTTATAATAAATATTTTATTGAATTATATATCGACCATTTTGGTCAAATACCTGTTGTCATCGTTTCTGGTAGTAGCATGATTTCATTCATAAAAGTTTTGATCGTTGCTTACAAAAAACTGATCCAAGTGATTTTTGATATTGTTATTCAAGTAAATGTTTTACAGTTAAAAAAAATTTGTATAGACCAGAACAAGTAATAATCTGAGCTGCTCAATCTGGTGAATATGGTTGGTGTGATAGCATGTCCCATCTAAGTTATAACAGTTTCTGACGAGTTACCAAACTTGTATGAAATTTGACATTATCATGGTAAAACACACCTGTTTTGTTGATCAATTCTGGCTGCCTTTTCTGTTTGATGATATTACTCAATTTATTTACTCGATGGCAGTACACTTTCAAATCAATTGTTAAATTGTCCACCAAAGAGAGCATCTCTCTTTAAGAACATGTGGAACCCATATATCGAGCTTTGAAACAAAACCAATTTGTTTCAAGTAATCATAAACAGTTCAATTTGACAAGTTTAATCTCTTAGTGATTTCACGTGTTGTTATTCGGGAATTTGCTTCAATCAGTATCTTTATTTTGTTTTCATTGGCTTCAACTGGCCATCCAGAACTTGGTGCATGTTCAATATTGAAATTGCCAGAATGAAATTTTGTAAACCAAGTTTTGGCACTGTCATTCTGTCAATACATCTTCTCCATACATGTCACACAATTTTTTTCTTGCTTGAACAGCATTCTTACCTTTTCGGTAATAAAAGAGCAAAATATGCTGAAAATGCTGCTTTCAATCTTCCATATTTGATGGGACACAAAAAATAAACAGTTGCACAAAATCAAACAGAATTTTTTACAAATAAGCCTTAAAATGCTAGCTGCCAAAATATACAATGATAATATGGTTTAGAATAAAAATGGCGGGAAAAATATGACTAATTTGTCTAGTGGTAAAAAACCGAAATTACTTTCTGAACAACCCAATATATTATAATAATTATCAAATAATCAAATAAAATAATCACATTTTTAGAAACTTCAAAAAGATTAAATGTCATAATCAAAATTAATTAATGGTAAATTGTACTTCAAAAAGAGTAACTGGCAGCTTTATCCCCCAAAAGTTTATTACGATGAGGATCATAAATAATTCCTGCTGCACTGAAAAACTGCTCACTTGGAACGCTTGTTGCAGGTGATGATAAATATGTGCGAGCCATGTGACTAAGACCTCCAAATTTTTTACTATTAATCTCCCAATACTTTAATGGATCTTGGTCTCTTGATAATCTTTTTTCTTTGGCATATTCTGTGAGCAAATTAGCATTAGTGTATGATATTTGGTTTTCAGATTCCTCATCTTCATCGTCACTATCTAACATATTAGCCATAGAGTCTTCTAAATTGTTGCAATATTCTTTTCTTACAGCATTTGATTTTTCTGTGCTAGTTGTAGTTGTTGTGATATTTACTTCTGTTTCTAAAGCTGTAAGTAGTTTCTGTTTTNGTGCTAATTGTAACTGTTGTGATATTTACTTCTGTTTCTAAATATGTAAGTAATTTCTTTTAAAAGATCAGTTTTTTTCATCAATTTTTTGAGGAAATATATTTGAAAAATTGATCTTTTAAAAGTAATATAAAGTAAACCGCACCAGGGATATATACATATCTATTACTTATAAGTAATTTCTGTTTTATATCTTTGATAAGAAAGTCACTGAAGAATTTACCTTTATAATGTGGTTCTAAAAATGTTGCTATTTGGATCAATATATTTTTGTCAATTTCAGAAAAATGCTAATCTAATTCATTGTTCAAAGAAGACAAAGAATCAAGAACAGCGGGTGTGCTGATATTGAGAGTTTCCCCACTATTAGCAGAAATTTGAATCTTGTCACACAATTTATTTAATGTTCGTATTAGAGGAATAATGTCGGATATACATATG